ACCAAGTTGTCGCATATCATAACAGTTTTCGAGTAACTCATATACTTTAGACGATCTTCTGGCTAGCAGATTCGGAATCGAAGGTTAGAAGAGAAATCGTGCATGACTCATAATCTTCTTCTGATGAAGGCAGAAGGGTCTTTTAATTTGCTTTCGTGGGCTATTTGTTTGTCCGCTTGTGGGTAGCACATGTTGTGATATGACGAAGGCATCTCTGACTAACGTTGTAGCGTTTGGTACCGCAATATCTTTTCCTATTTCTATCATCATTATCATAAAATTAGCTACAATCGGATCAAGTCGGCCTCGAATGTCACAAAGAAGGCAGCTTTAGATGAATTTGCGCACCTGATGTAGTCCGGAGTCTAAGTCTCGCCTGGCTGGGGCGGCAGCTTTTTTGAAACATTTTTCCCGCGCACGCAGTTCCGATTGCTACCTTATGTTGGAATAATATAACAGTTGTTATACTAATAAAGACTTAACAAAATTACAATACACATATCCAGTCATATATACACCATTCATAGTCCACGAGTGATCCAGCTCTGGAGATCCAATACTAATATCTTCTACTCGTGTCCTGAACGGAGCGAGTAATCTGTCTTCCTGCCTCCTTTTTAATATCCGAAGGCCACCATCACGTGACCTTAGTCTTCTATAACACATGTCATGCAGACTTCCTGCCCAACTGGTGACCACTAACAGTCAGGTAAATATGTGACCCGTATATTATTTGCCCCGTAATCATAATATATATATTAAGTCTCAACACCTTAATTTTTTATTTTGGGTAGTGTAAACAGAATTATGTCTGCATAAGGGGATACAGTCCGTAGGCGAGATTATGATCGGCGACAGGAGTACGAGAGTTATCAGATCATAACTCGGGTAGTCTAGCAGGCACCAGAACTTCGAGGTAATATTCTGGTGTAGTGTAGCATATGCTAGAGCCGAGGCTGTGCAGTTTGACGTTGAATAGCTCATGTATGATAAGGGGTCACAGAAGGATATTTAGGGCGTGTCCAGATAACCATTATAGAGGGTGAACAGAAAAACCTTGAATAATCTTTACAATTGACTTGTTCTCTCTATTTACTCTTTATATCACGAGACATCTAACGGTTTGCACAATCTACGCTTTTAGGTAGAATTAATCATTTTATTGTCCTGTCTAAGTCTATGACTATGTAGGACATGCAGGTCCTCTCTGCCTACAGGCCAAGGATACCTATACCAGTAGTATATCCCCTCCTATGCCTCCCATACAGCTCCCCTCAAACAGTACTACCCCTCACAAGTCCTCGTTCGATCATACACTAAGAGGAGCCCTTTATCCTCATTATCTCCCCTCTCCAGCCAACGAAACGATAGCCATTTGCGGGCGTATGGCAGCCGGGAAAATTCGCAAAAATCACTGGGTCCGGAGCTCTTCTAATACCGACATTAGGACTAGATCCGAAGACATAGTGACCGTTCCGAAGCGTTTGAAGAGGCCGCCCAGCTGGGCGCTGCAGACTTGTGTGTACCTCGGAGAATTTACACTCTGCCTTTCTAGCCTCCTTCCAACTCCTTCCCGAAGGTCGTGCCGAAATGTCAGAAAAGTCTTGACAGAGCGTGATTGCTGTATAGTAGCTTAGCCTAGCTTCTTTTGTGCCGTCCAGGGCGCTGGGGAGTGCCGTTGACTCATCGATACATGAAGCCCTCCTGGCTAATTAGCCGAAATCTTGGTCTTGGCGCCCACAAAAAATCCAAAGTTTAAAACCCGTCGAAAATATCAGTCTTAGCATGGTCTTCAGAGACCTATTCCCCATCTCGCTCCACGTCTCAGCCGTCTGTCCTTACTCAAGATGTATAACCCCATTAAAGCAGCAGGTCCCCATAAGCCAAGACCCAGGCCTTGTATTTTTTGACTTGATTTCCTCCTTGCGTGTATAAATAGCGTCGTAAATATGTAGTGAGAGATGGCTGGAATTTAATGGGGCAAGCTCCTGTATGCAATCGAAGCAACTTCTTTATTGGTCGTCGAGGAGAGATGATGGGCGGTTAGAGAGAGGTTGGGGACCTAGATGAGTATGTTAAGTGAGGCATTGTCGAGAAGTCGTCAAATGGAGATGTGTTTGAGGTTGCTTTCGACTTCGATTCGGAAGCGATTCTTCTTGGCTATCCCAGATATGCAGAGTCGATAGTGAATGAAGGGGAGAGGTGATGTTTCCTCTCCACACGCACACTCCATTGAAGCGGCGAAGTTGTTGCAGCGGCGATGACATGCCGCGAAGTTTCCATGGCCCGTACGGGCTGGCCAATCCGACAATGTACAGTGCCTCTGGGATATAAAATGTCAACTTTGAAACTGGGATGTTTAAGGGATTAGTCCTGTAAGCGCATTTGGGCTAGCTCGAAATAGGTTAGTATGACTCTCCCCCTTACCCCGCTCGCCATGAAGTATGGTCCAATCGTCTTCTTCTAACACTCGGTTAAAAAACACATTTTGAACGATAATTTTTGGTGCTTACACTACATAGTCCTTAAATTTTAACACCACTGTCAATTCATCCTCTATTCCGGTAAACAATGTCTATCAAAAAGTCTGCTTCAGAAAATAAAGTTCTCAGGCATCAAACTCGCGATCAATGTACTGAAATAAGATCATTAAGAAGACTTGGCTTGACACTACAACATATATCCGACGAACTTGGCATCACAAAAAGGCAAGTGCAACTTGCGTTTGCTCGAGAGACTGAGAATCCAAAGCCTCGCAAAAAACACTCACCCAAATTAAGCGCGGAACAAGTTGATGAGTTTGAGGCTTCCGTTCGGGAATCTCCCGAAAGTCGACAGATGTGCTATTTGGAACTCGCGATGGGACTCTTCAGTCATTGGGGATGCAGTGAGCGTTTAATTTCCAATGCACTCAAAAAAAAGAGGTTACAGAAGGTGCATTGCTCGGAAGAAACTTCCGTTAAGTGTGGTTAACATGCACGAAAGATGTATAGCGGCGAGAAAGGAAAATGGAGGGTTCACAATGTATTGGGATGGAGCAGAATTATACAAAGCATGAAATACGCTTTCAATTTAGTTGCGAGCCACACTTAGGGCTTCGATGTAAACTTTTGTAATACAGAGCAATTATTTTTGAAATAAATGTGTATTTTTAGATAATAAATTACGCCCTCAGGGCTCCATACATGCAATGAGCAAGGCAGTGTAGGTGCTTGAACGTGAAACACCTACACGTGATGAAAATGCCAATCTAGTCTCGGCATTACTCAGCAAACACCTAAATCCCATGTATATAGATCTCGCTGTAGTTACTCCTTCTTCTCCTTTCATAGCCAATCTATCTTCATTTCCCCAGGCTGCCTCTCTACCATTCTCCCACCTCGTGATTTAATATCAATTGATTTTTTTAAATTTTTGAATCTAAATGAGGACAATTGTACTTTTCATTTAGAGTTGAAAACCATCCCCATTTATTTGACTTTCACGGAATATCGTTGGTTATTACCCCTGCTTGCATAACTAGTCAATTAATGAGACATGGGCCTGCATGAAGACTATACCAATTAAGGCAACTTGAACAGGGATCTAACCCCAGTCATTTTGTTATTTATACTTTTGATACCCTTAAGAGACTGTAAGAGACCTAAAGTGTTGCCATGTAACCGTAGCCTTTCTTACTTAGTCATGGGGTGACCTTGCCTAACTAGGTAATATCCGCATCTAGCATAGAAAATTAATCAATCTTGATATCATTACCATATCGTAACCCACTCTGACGACATCACGGGTTATTTTTTTTTTTTTTTTTTGCATCAGATTTTAATTGCGTATGCAGCAATCTAGCTATGACACAATATCAAAGAAAATTACAGAAAAGATGACTCAATTTACAAGAGGAGCACCCATGTCTCAAATTTCATTTGCAAGTACCACTGCGAAGTTATGGCGGCTTTTTCTTCATCCCAAGTCAACCCTCATCATCACGGGTTATTATTTTGCGGAAAGGACTTGTCCGGCTCGCTGCACCTAATGTTAGCCTAACGCCCGTATCATGCGCCAAACAAAGTATCATCATCACATGGTATCCTAATCAACAAGCTACTCAGACTAACTTGTCTCGAAAACTTTGAACACTTCACGCGGAAAGCTCACTGTTTTGGGCCTTCTCCTTCGCGTCCATCTCCCACTCAGTGGAAGTTGAATCTGAAGATAACAAATTCAACACAACCAGATGGGAAACCAGGCGAGTTTTGTTCCCCAGTTGAGTTTCTTGAGATTTTGCTCGGCTTTAATCTTTGGAGACGTGGGGCTACTACCGCACATTTTTATTACTTTTTTTGGCATCATCTAAGTGTTTGCAGCTGTTCAGCTACGACACACGATCAGTATCTTGCATGCATGTTGGATGACTGTTTTGATGTCAAAGTCACTCATACTTTTGATTTCACTCGCAAATACCACTGAGTTATCCCAGCTTACCTAACAGTCGACCCGACTTTTTGAGTACCCACCAAAGGAAAGTTTCGATACCATTATCCAAGCTGGCATTCGTCATTGATTTACACCAGCACCGCGAGAGATGTGGCGCATTATCACTAGGCTCCAACCAGCGAACTTCTGCCAAGTTGGCATGGTGTGGATTTTCACTCTACCCGTTATATTAGCCCGGATGATATACCACTGCAACATACAACCAGACATTTGTATCTTGTCACCTGCACTGAGCAAATCTACTTGCTGAAGCTTTACTTTTGAATAGTCTAATCAGAAGATACACAGGAGTACTGTCCCTCAACTAACAGTCTTTTGTAAAACTTAATAAATCATAACCTAAACGCCTGATATCATTACAGATTGTACCTATCTATGCTTTTTACATCCTCCTCGAAGCGACAGGTAAGTGCTTCTCAAAATTTTAATGCCCAAAAGTGAGTGATTATTATTCTCCCCTCTTAAATCACATGCCTGTTTCCCAGTTTTGTCACAATAGACTTTGGACTCTACTCTTCTTGATCTAGTTGATTGTATCTCCCACTTTTGCCACTTCGAATACTCGCGTCACCTCTACCTACCATTCGAGATATCCAGCCACCAACGCCCTCTAGTACACTATCATTATCCTCAGAGTACTGTGGTTTGCCGTTCTGAATATTTACATGTGGAGGATCATATTCAATTCCCGGCGAAGATATAGTGGGTCCTAATCTCGGAGTTCCGCCTCCAAACTGGCCTCGCCTCAAATCCATGGAAGGAACAGGTGAACTTGCACCGAGAAGCGATCCTGTCTCAGCAATTTGAGCAGGCGTAGAAACCGCATTTGTTGCATCGCCAAATAATGCACCCATGTCTTCTAGTCGAATTCCAGCTGTTTCTGGATAGGTAAAATAAACTAGAATCTTTCTATTAGTACTGTGCCCGTTTCAAAAGGTTTTCGGGATTCCATACCCACAACGAAACTTGTTGCGCAAAAAAAGGCATGGAGGAGATATAAGCGCCATGTAATCCACTCTTGAAGCACTGGTGTCATTTCTCCGACAAGCCAGTTAAAAGCCCAATTAGTAGCTGTTGATAGGCTAGCACCTTTGGAGCGAATACTGAGTGGTAATATTTCGGGCGGATAGAGCCAAGGGATTGGACCCCAGCTGAATCCGAATGCAGCATTGTAAATCATGACAAAAATCACAACTAGTGTAGGTGTCCAGTGTATATCGAGATACAAAAAGTATGAGATAGCGCTGAGAGAAAGCATCATAAGTATGGCACCCCCGAGAAGGATGAACCGTCGACCCCACACATCTACTAAGTACCATGGCGGAATAGTGGATAGAAGATATGTCAGGCCGTTGATGCCCGTCATGAGTATAGCCTGGCGCCCTACCCATCCCGCAGATTCGAAGACATACGGAGCATAGTATGAGATAACATTGATTCCGTTTAGCTGAGCAAAAGCTTGAGCGGACATAGCAATAAATACCCTCGTCCTGTAGCGACGGAACATCTCTAAATATGTTTTCTCGCCCTCCTGCCGTTGCATTAGGACATTCATTTTTATGTCGCGGAACTCTTCCCGAGCTTTTGTGTTATGAATATCTCCCCCTCCATAAAGATTAGCAATGACGACAATTCCTTCTTCGTCATGGTCATTATCTAGCAGCCACCTATTAAATTAGATTGAATATGAAGTGTTGTTTCAATAACATACCGAGGTGATTCCACGATAAGCAAGCTTCCAAACCCGAGTAGAGCCCCCATTACGCATTGCATAACTAGAGGAATTCGCCAAGAATAATCGCTATCGATGAAGCTGCAAAAATAATCAACCCATACAGAAGTGGCGTAACCAATTATATTTCCGGAAAATTCGATGCACGCCAACTTTCCCCGATTATGCGGCGGAGATATTTCGGATTGATACACAGGCACAATTGTTGATAGCATGCCTACCCCCACTCCAGCAATGATGCGGCCCATCAGCATCATCAACAAACCATTCGCGAATGACTGTAATGCTCCACCAACAAAGAAGATCATAGAGCCATAGAGAATTGTCTTTCGTCGACCAATAATATCACCTACTTTTCCGACCACTAATGATGAAAAAAATGCACCAACCTCCAAGATAGCTACAATTGCTCCAACTTCTGCGCGTGTGGGCTGATTGAAAAAATCCTTGAAGTAAGGGCCACTAGCGATAAGTCATTAATATCTAGTGCAAGGTGTTTGATTGGAACAACTTACGTGATAATACCTGACATAACACCCTGATCATAACCAAACAAGAAGACCCCAAGGGAAACAAAAATGCTTGTGAAATATCTATTTGGAAATCAGTACCATCCATGGTATTATCGAGATAGTAGTAGATTTACACTAGTGGCTTGCCTGTGAGGCCCCGCATCTGTCTTTCTCCGTTCGACATCATGGCAGCCAAGAAATGCTCGGCTCTGGATATGGTACGCAGTCCAGGTGAAGGTATTTCTATTTCTTCGCGAGGGATAAGACTTTGCCCAGACTTTTCTTCAATAACGTCGGATTGGCTCAGCAGAGATCCTCTCTTTCTTCGAACAGCTTGGCGTGTCAACGCATGCGATGAGTCTCCTTCACAAGTAGCTTGCTGCTCGATCGGCCAACGACTCTCTAAGTCATTCGGCTGGTCAATTGATTCGCTAGAGGGATTGCCGGAGACCTTACACAGAGGCGACGAGGACGATGAGCATGAGCGGGAACGAGTTACTATCTTGTTCTGCTTGCAGTGACTAGTGGTTTCTGTCGTGGATGCGTCGGGTTGAAAGTTTGTGTGCAAAGCACGTAACGGTATGCTTGTACGACGCCGTGAAGAAGGTAAGTAAGAAATCGTGAATGTAGATGGACTGTTCGACTGACAGTCCGTTGTCTAGATAAAATATTTGAAAGATTATCTTGCAGCTTGAAGTCGGGAAGGGAAAACTTTGAGCCGATCCCTAGACTCATGTGACTTATACTCAGCGTAACTCCTCACTCGACAACTTTGAAAATGAGTGGTTCTGAAGCTCCTGGCGTAGGGTTAGCAGTGGGGAAGAAGGACGAAGGGGTAATTGAGATGCCTTACGTAGCGAAAGGGATAAGCCCAAGCAGTTAAAGGCAAGGGGTCCGGGGAAAAGAAATGAAAAGGTAGGGTTGGCTAACGAGAAGATGGGGTAAATCAGTTGCAGCTGCAGCACGGCAACAGCTGATGAAATCGCAACTACCACCAGCTCTTAAGCCTTACAAATAAAGATCTAAGGAGTGGTGGTACGCTGTGTCCCATCTATTGAAGACGATTGCAGTGGGTGTTGAAGATATGATCGGAAAGAGTGGTTGTCTGAACAGAAAGGACGTGACCGCGCAAAGTTTTATCCGGAGGACGGGGAGAGCTGATGTAAGTGGCCAGTGGCTTGTGGACAGCTAACTCACTATGGCTAGATGAGAGGGGAGGTAGCTTCTCGGACTTAAAACTGGCTAGGGGAGGGCGAGAGTCGTCAGTTAGCATGAGGAGAGGATGGACAGAAGATAGCCAGTGTCGACCGGCCTCTGAGATAATAGTAGATAATCGGAGTTGGAATCCCAAGCGCCCACCAGAAGACTGAGATAGACATACTTAAGATAGGGAATTTAAAGTGCAATTCTACGACGGTGGCATGCCTCGGACTTATTTTTGTGCTCCGCATCGACTGCACAGATTGACTGCCCCAAGCCTCACGGTAGTTCAGATGAGCTCACGCCGGCTTTCTCGGACTCTGCCAGGCCAAACTCATTAGCTGCCCTGATGTCTTTCAAGTGTAATTCCCCACTCACACATGCCGCACAGCGAGGAAAGCCAGCATGTGTTTGGCAGCGACAAGGGTTCCGCGCCGAGCCGGATTGGAGAGTCGTGTCCACCGGTTAGGGCTTGAGAGACTAACCGTCAGTGCGGGATGTTCAAGTTTGCGTAACTTAGCCAGTCCATGCGCATTTTACAAAGGGTAGCAATTCTTCGTTCCAATTCAAGACATTCGATTTCTACTGATTAACATTGAAATGGACGATCGCAGGTGTGTAGAATACGGGCGATCCTTATGTAGAAGCTTTGCCAATCATTGATTGGGATGTGAGGAGCAAGTTCGCCACACAATTAGATCTGCAATAGATTCAGGACAGCTAGGGACGGAATAACCTTGGTCCTAGGGGAGTTAAGTTAAGCGAAAGCTCATCGCGGGGGGGAGGACCATGGCATCTGTTCAAGGTATTTTCTACAAATCTAGAAGTAGAATATTCTCCCAGAGTCAAGATCAGACAAATTTCGCAATACAAAAGGAGTTGATCCACGAAGCAATGGTTCAAGATACTCCATGTCAATCTTTTACTCCCAATGACATCAGTTCCCACCAAAAATTATCAAGTCTACACATATTGTCAAGGGGAACTATTCCACCAACTCATGTAAACTAACCTAGTAAGGTCATGTGACCTGACTAACAGTACACAGTTTCATCTGTAGCTGTATGACTCTCTAGTCAGCATTTACAACTCAATACCGTGTCCCCACGTATATTTCTTAAGACATACTACCAGGTACATATTCAATTTATGATCACACTCCATGTCAAATCAGTCTGTAGCATCAAATTACATCCAAGTACAGGCCCATACGAATATGGATTACCACCGGAGAAGTTTCTGTTTGTATATTAACGTGCTAGGCAATTGGCACCCTCCGCACTCCTATAGAAGCTTGAGCACGTGTGGGGCGGGGCTGGATCAGGTTAGCTACACTTAAGTATATCTACCCCGTCCCATCTCAGACTTCACCTATGTGTTGAATCATGTCAAGCCCAACCGTCCAGAGAACCCTCTTTTGACGCGCCGAAGCGCAAGTTCCTCAGTCTCGGCCACCACGCGCCCAAGCCCTTGACACCTTCGCGATTTGTATATTTCCCCTTGTATTCAATCCCAGCTCTGGCTCATCTCAGCATCTCCTCATTTCATCCAGGGGTCGTTTTCTTCACTGGAGGCCTCATCTAGTCGTCCACCAAGGCCTCCTCAGTTTGTGTTCCCATTTGTTCCTTCATGTAGCATCTCTCTATCCTTCAGCCGATCTCGTTATCCTAGAAACTTTGTGGAATGTTCACCTCTCCGGCCTTGCCCCGTCGCTGCCGTACCCCTAGCCGTGGAGGTCGAAAATGTGACTGAGAGCTTAAGACCGAAGCACCGAAGCCCCAGCCTTTGTCGAACGCTCTGGTTGGTGTGCCGGCGAAATGTCGTACGTATTTCGTTGGTTGCGATTCGCCGCCGGTCGAGTTGTTGGTACCCCTGGCCGAGGTGAAGACGCATTTAAGGCCGGTATTTCGACCGTACCTTCACAGTGACTAGCAGTTACGGAGGGTCGAACACCCTCTTTTTTTTAAATAACTTAATTTGTATCCAGCTATTTAGCTATGACACGTGACCGGTGCCACCATTACTGAATAACTTTGAGAAAATCGATGATACCCTATACTCATCTCCCTTACCCTTTGATTCGCATACATTTACACTAATGCGACTTCTCATAACAGCAAGACTCTAGATCTCCAACATGTCTCCGGGGCCTGCCAAATCATCGCGACTTATTCGCCACCAAAAAATTATGGACAGAATGAATACCAAGCTGAAAAAGCACTTGGAACGTAAAAGAATACCATTGAGCTGGATAGACGGGCAAAAGATGGAATTGGACATGGCCGAGAGGATAAGAGCCTTCGAAGAAGACTCGAACTCCACAAACCCAGATGTTGAGATATGTGATGCAGCCATCAGCCAATATATCAAAGAGGGTCTTGAAAGCTCACGATGGAATATACAGGAGCCGGAAGACGGTCAGGCCTCAGAGGCCCCCGTCAATATAAACACAAGGAAGATTGCTGTGCCGGCTATGAAGCGGACATCTAATGTTGACGCAAAAAAGGCCGACTTAGCCGCGTCCACCACAACCCCTCATACCATTCCGAGGGCAAGTGGAAACAATCAAACTTCTTGCTGCGATAGTAGCTCCAAGAAAACTGCGACTTGTCCTCCCGAGCTTCGAGCCATACTTGAAGCCGAAGAACAGCGGGCGGCCCAGACTGCAACTAACCTCACTATATGCACCGCTGCTATCAATGGTGTGGAGAATGCGCTCTCACCTCTATCCAAAGGGTCGAGCGTTCAATTTATAGACTTCATGAAAGTCTATATCCGAGCTGAAATAGCTCAATTCATGATGTCGGGACCAGGAACAGTCCTTCCCAACCTCCCTCCATGACCAAACTGCCAGAAACATGGCGGGAAGATCGTGGAACAAGCGATTGAAAAGCAGCCAGAGTTGCTACAAAAAGCGACCCAGGCCAAGGTGACTCAGGTCAAACCTTCCTGGGCGACAGTTACCCGTACTGGACTCAAGATGCCCGCGGCACCGATGAAAGACGTTCGAGTCCACAAAAAACCCTCCGTATCAGCGAAATCTCCAACAAAGGCTACGACAATACCCGCCCAAGACGATCCTCTGTTTCTTGGACTCGGCAAAGACCACGCCTGGCGCGCTCTCTCACCTGCTGGCGTGCGAGAGGCGGCAGCAAAAGTGCTCGAGCTTCCCTCACAAAATATTGAACACGTATATCGTACCGACTGGTTTCGCACTTCGAGCCAAAAACCAGGAAGCACGACAGCTTCTTGTAAACCCTGCTGCATCGTTCGTCCAGGTAGACGCAAAGTTGGAGAAGGCCTCAGATCTAATTGCCCTTCGTATTGCGACAATTCCAGTCGCTATTCAAACACTTCTGGGAAAAGTAATTGTCACCGACGAAATCACCCGAGTCACCAACAAAGTTCCGGCAAGGGTCCGCCCTCATGGAAAAGGACGAGTCGGGTCCCCCTACTAGACATAGGTGGCACACTTCGAAAGAGCGTCCATCCCCCGACCGGGATTCCGACTATTTGATGACTCGGGAATCGCTGTTCGACATCAGCTCTGCCCAACTGTGAGTCATTGCAAGCTATGTCTCCTATACAATGGGACTCAAAGTTGCTCGCGCACCCCAGTATGCTGGAACTGCACCTCAACAATGCACTCCACTTCGGAATGCAAAGAGTATACAAAGTGCCGCAACTGTGGGGGGGCCCCACCGATCGGACAGCCGAGATTTTCTGGCTCGCCCCACCAAGTCTGGAACAGCCTCGAGAGAAAATCTCTTGACTATCAGACAAGCTAGCCAACGCGAATATGCCGCGGTGGTCCGAGCAAAACTGCAGTTCGACGAGCAGAGGCCGCTATCAAAGCAGCCGCTGAGATGGACAAAATAAGTCCACAGAACTACAGCTCTAACAACAGCTTTGAAGTTCTAATGACGGATGAGATGCCAAACGTGACTGAGGTCACTGTCATGTAGAGACATGATTCATTCATGAGTTGATATTGTTCAGACGATCATGACTATATCACAACGTCATGTACAGACACGATTCATCATTTGTACCTGTTGTATCAACCATGACTATGTCTCAGTGATATGAGAAACATCATTGACTAGTTACTAGAAACCTAATCAAGATCCTAAACACACAACTGAGACTAGGAGAATTTTACTGAGTAAGTAATTATTCTGATTAATCTAGATCTAGAGGAACATAAACTGGTTGCTTGGCTCGAGGTATATGAACCTGAGCATATCATGTATTATAAACTATATAGAAATCTATCTCAATCATAATCATCATCTTAATTCATGTCACCATCAATAGCTGCAAAGGACAGTTTAACCATTTCCTTATAGTCACAGAAGCGGTCATCCCGAGAAATCATTCATAAAGGGCGTCCCACGAGCCTCTTTCCGCCTCCCTCCTACTCTAAGTTTCATATCAATAAACATAGTTAGAGGAGGTCTGACACAGAATATTGCACTCGCCCGAGCATTCGAGCTGAATATCGACGTTGTTCTAATTCAAGAATGTAGGTGGAAGGAAGAGACAATATCACATCCTGGATATATTTGTCATCTACCTCATGGTGGCGAAAAGTTCAGGCCAAGGGCCGTGACCTACACCCGGAAAGATGATCGGACGATATCAGCGAGGCGACTCTTCCCCTGCGCTAAGCTGACGGGCGACTATTGCTGGGTGGTAGTGAATGGAATTACTTTCCTCAATGTGTACAAGGCGCCCAGAGATATCAGCCGTACAGCCACTTATCAATTGGACCCCGCCGCCGAACTCAGTCGCTGCGGGTGATTTCAACTCTGTATACTCTGCCTAGTAACCAGGAGTTACTCGTCCCTATAGACAAGGTGAAATAACAGAAAGATGGGCCGAAGAATACCATCTAACTTGCCTTATCATCGGAGAACCCACACATCAAGCTGGAAACACCTTGGATCTTGCCTGGACCAACATTAACGGTAGCCGTGCGTGGGTAGACCGTGATGAATGTGTCACTAGCAATCATTTTCCCATCCGAGGAATAGTTCCGGTCCAGTCTGCAGTATTAAGACCCAAGCTAGC